CCCGCTGCCCAGCCAAAGGCACAAGCGCCCCGACGGCAAAGCCCCGCAGGGCGCCGGGTTGGGGCAGCCGCGGCCGCTGTTCTGTGCTCACACGGACGTGAGGCCACTTTTAGCAACGTCTCGCTTACCGTTCTGTGAAACCAAATCCCCATCGCAAAAAGGCATGGGCCCCCTCCCGCCTCCTGTGCGTCCACTCCCTGCTAAATTCAACCCCACACCCCAGAATGTCACGTGCGGTGCCCCAAAGCAGCCACCGAGGCACCCCTCTGCAGAGCCCGCAGCCCAGCTCGGGACCCTGGTCTGGGCGTCTGTGAGCCAAGAGCCAAGAGGCTTCGGAGGGTCAAGACTTCAGTCCCCCCACCCCAGGCCCCTCCCCACGCCCCAGTCTGACACCATGCTGGCCACGTCCGCATGGTGGGGGGCGGCAGCACCATGGGCATCTGTCCCGCCGCCGCCTTCCTGCTGCCAGGCGGTCGCCAGGAGCCTGTGCCCAGGTGGGGAGTGTGTGGGGCGTGTGCTCTCGACCGGCTTCGCTTCTCTCTCGTGGGCTCTGCACGGCGTTTGTCGCGGGTTGCCAGGCTGTGGCTTCCCGCTGCATCAGCAGGGGCTGCCGGGGTCCGGGGGCTCCCGCCCCCTCTGCCCTCGCACGTGGAGGGGGAGGCACAGCCCGGCCTTCGGGAGGCTCATCCAGAAATAGACCCTCAATTTCATAGGTGATTAGGAGCCTCCCGTGGACTCCATCAGCCACCACCCGGCGCCCCACGCCCCAGGCTCAGAGGCTTTCTGCGTAATCACCTCGCGCCGGTCTCGGCATGGCCCACGTCTGTCCTGGGACCCGGGACGGCCCCGACCCCTGCTGGGCCCCGGTGGCCGGGCCTGGGTGGCGCAGCGCAGCCCACTGCCGTGTGTGACTGGTAGCGCCCCTGATGATTCACTCATCTCGGGTTAGACGAGGCTTTTTAAGAGAGATCCAACTCGAGCAGAAACCTGCTCTGGTGTATTCAGGCGCATTTGCGTCTGCCATACTGTGTGCTATGTCTCCACTGTCACCAAAGGGAAGGTCAATGTATTCCATCCTGGTGACGAGAAGGAAAGACAGAGGAAGTCGGCGGGGAGCGGGACCCCCGCTGGGGGGGCAGGCATGAGGCCCAGTGGGGGTTGGGCAGGAAGGCCCTTCTGGGAGCCGTGCCGACCGTCCGTGTGTGCCCAGCCAGGACTGCGCCTGCAGGTCCGTCTGTCTCCCACGCCCCACGTGCGAAGTCCTGACCCAGGACCCGGCGGGACCTCGTTTTGGAGCCAGGGGTGTTGGGGGCGGGGTGCGTGTGACCTGTGTCCTGGTAGAAAGGAATCCCGTGCAGACCCAGACGTGCAGGGACACGCCGTGAGGCCGGAGCTCGGACGTCAGACCCTTCAGGCTGAGACAGCAGGTCCCTGCTGCGGGCAGAGCCATGGCACCTGCCAGGCGGCCAACCCACATCCCGCCTCAGCCCGCTCTGCGCACGTCCGCGCCGGCGTCAGGGAGCAGACGGTCTGATTCTTCCCAAATGCCGTCAGGGAGGGACAGTCTTTGTTTTCTCTCACCTCTCAAAGTCATTATCACCACATTTAGGCTCCTGAAACTCCTGAAAACTTCTAAAAACGTTTCCAATTTACGCAGTGGCTCACAGGACTCCAGTACTCTCGGTTAGAATTCGAAACAGAACTCAGTCGTGGCCTCGGGTCGTGGAGACGGGAGGGTGTCGGCACAAGCCTGGCTGCGAGGGATGGGATGTGCACTTTGCAAACCACAAGTTCAGCACTCAGGGAAAATTCGCTGCTCACCCCCAGGAGACAAGAGGGAAACAGCGCCCCTCGCTCCCTGGGCTGAGCGGGCTCCCAGACGGCGCCGGGCACTTCAAGAGCGTCCACCCCAGAGGGCGTCCGGCCTTGTCCACACCCGACAGCAAGCACGGGACCAAGGCGGGCTGCGCACAGAACTGTGGGGTACTTGTATCTCCACGGCTGCGCAGGGCTCAGCCCGGCGGGGACTGTCCCCTGCCAGAGACCGGCCAGCGCTCGCAGTGAGGGGCAGCACCGGAGAAGAGACCCAGGACTGTGCCGACCGGTGGGTCAGACGGGTCATGGGTCTGTGGGACGGTCGTTGCGCAGTGTGGGCTGGAGGGGGGGCTGGAGGGGCGGCCGGTGCAGTGACGTTTGCATGTTTGGTTTTTCAATACCCCACCAACACATACATGGAGAAACACGTCTGCAGGATGCTGGCATCTGCCAGTTCTGGGTGAGGACAGGGCTGTTTTCCCGTCAGTCCTCCTTCCCTGCAGGTCTGGCATGTGCCTGTCAGAGTCACGCCTTGCCAAGGCCGGGCAGGGAGGGCCCGGCGTCGGGCAGGCCCTGGGTGACGCGCAGCCCCTGGCGGTAAAGCCCCCCAGGCCCCCGTGTCGGGAGTGGAGGGGGCCCCACCTGCCCCCACGCATGGCTCCTGCCACGGCCCAGCACGCCAGGGCCAGGCCTTGTCTGCTGAGCGTGGGGGCTCCGGCCCTGTCGGCTAACACGCTGTCGCACGGGGCACTGGGGATGGGTAAAAGTCATTCTGGGCTGGGCGTGCCCCCTGACACCCAGAGCTCCACGGGGACAAGATAAACCTGCACTCACGGCAGGGCCCGTGTCTGGTGACGGGCCACCACAGCTCTGCCCTCCACCCCCACCTAGGCCCCGGCTGCAGAGGGTCGGCCGCGAAGGCCAGACAGCAGAGACCACTCAGACGCTGCCGCCACCCCCAGACTTCCCGCTGAGCCTGCAGGGCTCACGCCAAGGCTTCAGGCCGACAGCCGAGGCCGAGCTGATGGGCGTGGGCAGGCGTGGCCCAGCACGGAGGTGCGAAGCAGACACTGAAGCGACTAGACTCAGCAGGAGCCCTCGGGCCTCACCGCCTCCCGCCAGGCACAGAGGGGAGGGAGGTGGTGCTCCCCGGAGATGGGCGTGGTGCTCTCTTGTGACGGCCTTCCCTGCTTCCCGGGCTCAGCGCTCTGACCCCCACGGGGCCTTGGCCAGCGTCTGGCCGCCACAGCTCTGTGGCGACCACGGCCGCTCACACGCACATCAGATTCCCGCCACCCGCCACCTGCCACCATCTGGGCCCAGCCCGCGGCTGGGCTGGGCGTGAGTCTTCCAGCCTCAGGCAATGATTCCTTCATTAGAGGGGAGGAACGGTCCGGCTAGTTGAACAAAACCAGACTTTCCCCCAGAGCCCAGGGGGCTGCCATGCCCAGCTTCCCCAGGCAAACACACGGCTGCGATCAGAGGCCCTGCTCTGGGCTGCGCCCGCCGCTCCCCAGCTCGCAGCTCTTGGTGGCTGCAGCCCCCGCCCCCGGCCTTGGGGAGCGGCTGCTCGGGCCGACATGCCCCGTCACATGCGGACCTGCTCTGGAGCCAAAGATCCCGCCTGGATCGCGCCTAATTAGCGTTGCCCAAGCGCTCTTCTGTGTCGTCGTGCCGCCGGGGGCCTCAGTGCGCTGGGGGGGTCTGGGTTTTGTGGGTGCAGATCTCTTGGGAGAGCCCCCCCCTCCTGCTCATTAAAAGAAACGTTGCCTGAGATTTCATCACAATCCCATCAAAATGCAACCCAGAAATTTTTGGTTAAAGGAGTCATCAGGAAATAGCTGATCTGGTTAACAGAGTTTGCAAAAACTCTTCTGTTGGGAGTTTTCCTCAAATGCATCATTAGACTAACATCCTCTTTTAAAATTATGTTTTCATAGAGACGGGGTCTTGCTATGTTGCTCAGGCTGGTCTCAAACTCCCGACCCCAGTGATCCTCCTGCTTTGGCCTCCCACAGTGGTGGGATTACAGGCGTGAGCCCCCACGCCCGGCCCAGGCACCCTCTAACTGCGGGTCACCACGTGACTGTCTTAAGTCCCTTAACACAACCGAGCCCTAAGGAAGGTGGCAGCTGTCCGCAGCGCCAGGGCGAGGCTGCGACCTCTCTTACCTGTGAAAGCCACTCGGTGCATTTGGGACTTGCAGCCCCCACGAAGCCCTTTCTGCCTCTGTGAATGACAGTTTAGCCGTGGGGGTGACACCTTCTCCCTCCAGTCGGGGGCCGGGGCTCTGGGCAGCCGGGACGGGCAAAGCGGCCTCCTGGGTGTTTCGGGGAGAGGGGACCACGCCTGGCGGCTCCGGTGTCCCAGCACTGGCCTGCCCACTCACTCCACAACCAGCACCTGCGTTTCTGTCCCGTAAATTGCAGGGGCTCCTCTCTCCCGCTTCCAAGCTCTCGAGCAGCTCTGCCTGCTGGGGACTGTCCCGGGAAGGGGCCGCAGCTCTTGGGAGGAGAAGGGGGTGCTTTTCCTCAAAGGCAGAGGCAGGGGACACTTCGCTCCTGCCACGTGGGCCACAGCTCGGAGACACGGACGGGGCCAAGACCAGGTGTCTGAGAAGCTGCTGCGGGATGCAGCCGCCGCCCTGCAGGTGTGCAGCTGGAGTCAGGTGAGCAGCCCCAGGCCGGGCTCAGGCCGTCCTGTCCACGCCCACAGCCACAGGGCGGAGCTGCAGGTGCAGGGGGGCCCCGTCTGGCCAGGGGTCCAGGGACGGCCCCACCTTCCCCAGGCCCAGGGAGCCCTGTCCACTGTGGTCACGGGGCCCCCTCCCCCACTCTCTCCACCTGTCCCCTGTCCAGGTTGGCTGGGCTCAGCCCGGCCCCTGAGGCCAGGTGGATGCGGGTGTCACGGTCACCAGATAAAGAGCCCCTCCTCGGGCCCACAGTAGCCCAGGCTGCCACCCAGCCTTTCCACTAGACGTGGCCATGTGGCCCACCGAGGAGGCCGGAGCGTGGCCATGCCCGGCGTCACTGAGAAGGCGCCGGGGGCTGTTGGGGGCCGGGAGGCTCTGGCCACAAACCTGGGCCGGGTTCCTCCTCACCCGGCCAACAGCAGCTGCAGGTCAGTGGCCTCTGTGAGGTCACCTGGCTGGGCAGGGCCGCTGGTGGGGGAGGGGCGCAGTCGGGGGAGGGTAAGGGGCTTAGAGTGACGAGGACGCAGGGCCCTGCCCGCTGGGGCTCCCTCCCAGGACGCTGTCAGGCCCGTTCCCGCGCCCCTGTCTGGCCCGTGAGCAGACCCGTGTGCAGAGACGTCGCCCTGGTCTCTGTGAACATCAGCCATGACAGCAGGGAAGGCCCAGAAAATCCTCGACGAGCGCGGCGGGAAACGCAGGCCCACGCCCGAGCGCAGACGGAACGGGCTTCGACGCAGGGCCCTCCCCTCGCCTGTCCCGTGTCTCTGCACGCGGCGCACACGGCCCCAGCGTGTGGCTGGCAGGGCTGCCCAGGTGACACGCCTCTTCCCAGCACACCCTCCCCGCCGGGCACCGCTGCCCGATCCGACCCCACAGAGGCTGCGCCGAGACAGCCAAGGCACAGGGACGTGGAGACCGTCCCGCCCGAGGGGGACACTGGGTGCCCTTCACCGGCAGCCCGGCGGGGAGGGTGCTGGCCGAGGGGCCTGGGGGCCCCACGATTATCTGTCTGGACAGCCGGGCTGGCCGGGGCTCAGACCCCCCAGAGACGCCACCTGACAGAGGCAGAGAAACCCAGATCTGAACAGCAGGAGGTGGCGGAGTGGGGCTGGGGCACCGCGGCCCCCTCGGGCCTGGCCCCCAGCATGGGAGGGCCATGAGGCCCAGCAAGGCTGGGAGCCGGCGGGGCAGAGGCAGCACGAGGGGCGGGCGCCGCGGCCAGGGTGGCCTGCAAGCGGGAGAGGGAAGGAGGGTCCCCGGCACAGCCGCCCCTCCATGTCCCTCAGCCCTTCCCCCGCAGCTCCAGGCCTCGCTGCTCACCTGTGCCAGATGTCCCAGCACTGCCTCCCTTCCCTAAATGTGCCTTGGGCAGAGCCAGGATCCACTAAATTAGCAGAGGTGTCTTGACAGGGCCCCGCACCAAGAAGAGGTGCTCTCAGGCGTGGCCTCCCTCCCACTGGGCCTAGCAACCCTTCCGTGACGTGGTCCTAGCTCCTTGACGTCGGCCAGCGCCAAGAGATGCAGGGAGGGAGCAATTTAATCTGAAATACATGTCACCTCGGTGGGTGGGTGGACAGGTGGGTGGACAGGTGGGTGGACGGGTGGGTGGGTGGACGGGTGGATGCCAGGTCGTGTCTCAAACCATCATCGTCATGACACAGCCCTGCAGGCTGCGAGGCAACCCCGGGCCCCACGCCCCCTGAGCCTCAGCCACTTCACCTGCAGATGGGGAGTCTGACCCCCCCATCCCCCGCCATCTCTTTCATTGAAAAACGCTTTGACGACCGCAGTCGAACTGCACACGTGAACTGTTATAATTTAGGTTGAGTGGGATCTTAACTGAGTGAGAAGTCTGGATTAGAGGATTTTTTTTTTTTTTTTTTTTTTTTTTTTTTTTTTTTTTTTTTTTTAGTTTGCTTTATTCTTTTCAAGTATCTGTCATTACGGGAACTAATTGCTAATAGCATATTTTCACATTGAGGTCCTGCTGGACCTGCTCCAATAAACAGGGGGAAAAAAATCTCGTAATTGGCAGCCTTATTTGCATGCAAACAGTGCGTGTTCCTAAGGTCTTTAAAACTATTCCCCAGAGAAGCACCTGCGTTCTTGTTTTAAGCAATTAACTTGCATTGCAGACCCTTTGTCGCTAGAAAGTCAGAAGGTAAACTCAAGCCCAGCCAAACCATCCTTAGTGTCTGGTTATTCCAAATTCCAAATTCAGGCGGTTGCAGCACGGTTTCCAGGTACATGGAAACATAAAAATGAGAAGCGTCCATGAGGCAGGGCCATGTTCGCTTTCGGGATGTAAAAGCAAAACCCGAGGTCCCGAGCGCCCGGGGCTGTGAGTCACCGCGGCTCTGTCGGAGGCGACCTCACTTCCGGGCGGCCGTGGTCGGGCCTGGCAGCGTCTCCAAGGCTCTACCGGACCAGGAACGCTCCGCACAGCCAGGCAGAGGACGGCGGCCTCACCGCGAGCTGACCACGGTGCAGGGTCACGTGGGAGGTTCCCGCTCGGCCTGAGCACAGGGACATTCCTGCTTCTCTGTTGCCTTTTACAAAACTGTGAAAGCCTCCTGGCTCTGCCCCAGGATTCTTTTGTTTCTCCGCCAGGTAAAAAGCCTATTTGGCAGCCGAAACTGTTTTTCAGCCTCTATCTGATGCTTACCCTTCTGATCAAAGTTCCGTGAGGCCCGAGGCACAGCCAGGGATCCCCGGCCGCTCCCGAGGCCAGACACGCAGCTCTCGTGTGAATGGCGTTATTGTTACACGACACACGGTGCAGGGAACGGAGACTGACTACCGCACTGACTGGAATCTGGCTACCGAAGGAGCTTTCAAATACCGAGCGTCAGAACTTCTGCTTCTGGCCAAGACGGACTAACAGGGACCAGATGTACCCTTCCACCAAAACAAGGAAAAAATGGACAAAATACACGAAACATGTGTTAGACATTAACCGTCCGGCAACACAGGCGGCAGCCCCTAAGTGAGGGCAGATGGGCAAGGTGAGGCCTCTGCTCGTGCCCGAGAGGGCTTCCCACCCTGGTGCAGGGGGAGGCCGAGCCTGGGCGGGACCAGGGTTGAAGAGACGGGGCTGGGAGTGCCGGGAGGACCAGGAGGCCAGATCGCCAGCGAGGAGGGAGCTGCCCCGGGGAGCACTGTGGACTCCATGGAGGCCCCGAGTCTGAGGAGGCCTCCTCACGCCTGGGCCCCTGAGAGATCAGAGGCGGCAGCGCTCGGACCCCAGGCCGGGCCGGGACCCGTTTCCAGTCCTGCTCCCATGAAGGAGGCGCTCACAGGGCCGTGGGCCGTGGCCTTAGAAGGGTTTTGATTTAATAGTGGGAAGATTAGCCAGAGACTAAGGACTGCTCAGGTCCTACCTAGCAAGCTTAAAAGCAAGGAAGACTCGGAGAAATCAAATGCTTTCCCAGTGACTTAGCTGCATCCTGGAACGGAGCTCCAGCTTATCGGTAAGAACACAAAACACCCAGCACCCGGCGAGCAGCGTTCACAGCGTCTGATACCCGGCCACGAGTTAGCAGGCGTTCGGAGGCCCAGCGGTTGCACTCTCGGCCTGTATCCCAGAGAAAGGAAACCCTGCTCCCCAGCCTTCACAGCAGCTCTGCTCACAGCGGCCAAGGGCGGGGAAGAGCCCAGGAGCTCCCAGGCCCCCCGGTGCGTGCGTGGGCAGAGCGTGGCACGGCCACACCAGGAAGGGAAAGGAGCACGCGTGGGCACAGGCGGCTCTGGCCTGGCGTGGACCCCAGGAGAGCCACGCCACGTGAGGAAGTCGGTCTCAGAGGCCGCAGAGGGTGGGACTCCACCGGAAGCCGTGAGGAGCTGTGGGCTTGGAGGACACAGTGGTGGCTGCAGGGCCGGGGCAGGGTGGGGACGTGCAGGGCCCTGAGGGGTGGCGTGAGGACACCTTGATTTTGTGTTGGTTTCGTGAATCTGCAGGTGAGAGAAAATTGCACAGAGCCACACATGCACACACACACACGTGCATGTAAAACCAGCACATGTGAATACTCGCTGTCAGCCGTACCAAGGCCGGTTCCCTGTTTGGGGGAAACGTGGGAAGGTGAAGTTTCAACAGGACCTCTCTGCCTGTTTTTTTTTTCTTTTTGCAACTTCTTGTGAACCTATAATTATTTAAAAAGTAAAATGAAGAAAGACAAAATAAAGTCTTTTTCATGTATACAAAAGCTGAAAGAACTCACCACTACCAGATCTACACTGTAAGAAACGTCACAAAAAATCCTTCAGGAAAACCACACCACACAGAAATCGTGATCTCCGCCAAGTAACGACCAGCACTGGCCACAGGAACCAGTGTGACCACGGTGAAATGAAATGTTCATCTTTTTTTATTATTTAAATCTCTTTAAAGCAAAATAATAATGGTGCATTGTGGGATTCATGAAACAGGCATTTGAGAGGACCGGCAGAGGGGGTAGCGGGCAGGGGGCGTGACTGGTTGCCAGGCTCCTCTGCTGCCCACCAGGTGCAGCGTCACCTGGAGGCAGGTTGTGGACAAGGTGAGACGTCACCTGTGAACCTAACGCAGCACGACCAGGGGTGACAGCTAATCAGCTCAGGAGAAAAAAATGCTTCCATAAAAAATACTCAATTTAATCGGAAATAAGGCAGAAAAGGGGAAAGGGGAGGATAGATGAGTCAAATAGAAAACAAACAAAAAGAGAGTAGATTAAATCCAACCATATCCATCGATATGTTAAGCACAGTCCCCGAAAACGCACTTCCAGAAGCAGAAACGATGGGACTGCAGGAAAGGGCAAGACCAGATTATGTGCCTCCACGGCACCCACGTTGTACACGGAGATACACAGGTTCGGTATCCCTTATCTAAAATGCTTGAGACCAGAAGTGGTTTTAGAGTTTTGGATTTTTCAGATTTTGGGATATTTATATTGTACTTACTGAGCATCCCATATCCAAAAATCTGAAATCCTAAGTGCTCCAATGAGTGTTTCCTTTGAGCATTGCCTCAGCACTTAAAGGTTTCAGATTTTGGAGCATTTCATACTTTGGATTTTCAAATTTGAGATGCTCAACCTATAAAAGAGTTAAAAGTTAAAAAAATGAATAAATATTACACCACACTAACACTTATCAAAAGAATAATTAATGTCAGACGAGGTAGATCTTGGAGCAAAGGGTATTCCCAGGGACAAAGAGGATAACTTCATGATGATAAATGAGGCCCATTATTTTGAAGTCCATAACCACACTAAACAGCCTGCACACACCCACATACACGGAACAAAAACTTAATCCACAGTTACAGACAGATTCAAACACCTTTCTCTCAATGACTGATTTGACGAGTAGACAGAAAGTGAGCAAGGAGCTAGAAGACTTGAACACCACTATGGAGCGACCCAATCTAGCCAAAATTTTTAGACTGCCTCACCCAACAGTATGGAATACGCATCTTTACGAAGTGCTCAGCAACACTGATAAGAGAGCCCACATTCTGGGCCATAAAATAAGGCTTAGTGAATATAAAAACTAAAATCATATAAAATATATTCTCTGAACAACAGTGGAATTAAGTTATAAATCTGAAAAATCCCCAAATATTTGAAAGCTCACACACTTCTCAATGGGTCAAAGAATTCAAATGGAAATTAGAAAGCATTTTGAATTTAATGGAATGAAAACTTGTGTGTCAAGCTGTGTGGGATGTAGCTAAAGCAGTACTTGCAGGGAAATTTATAGCAGTACACATTCGTATTATTAATAGAAGTTTCAAATCGATCACCTCAGTTCTTAAGAGAATAGATAATAAA